GGATCCTCTAACAATGTTGGCAGCTTCCTTCCCGCCAAGATATCACCTTCTCATATTGACACCAACTTGTGCTTCACAAAGGGCTGGGGCTGCCAAAATTGACAACTTCTAAGTCTATCATCAGGCTCTGTCATTAGAGCTAGTATTCGCAGCTTGAATTTGATGAAACAGANAATCGAATGGTTAACTTCTGGATAGTTGCAAGCTAAGGCTCAGGCAAACATCAACTGGGGTTTAATCGCAATTTCAAACATCACTCCACTCACGAAAACAACTTAACAAACAGTTTTGGTTCTAATATCCTATTATCCATGTGCAGGCATTTCATCTCTGACCATATTCCAAGACGAGCATCGTATTATCTAATATAGCAACACTTTCAAAAGCAGTTTGATCTGAAGAAGCTCTTCTATCTGTCTCTTCTTGTAGACATGCGCATTCTGGGGTAAAAAACATTGTATTCGATCCACCACTTTACAACAGGACACAGCCTCCACCAACTTAGGTTTTAGCAGCATACGGCAGTTGGAGTTCAATATCACGCTGGTAGTCGAGTGTTTAGATCAAGTACATGGCGTAGGATGCATGGTATGCTGTTCACCATGTCATTTATATACTAACCGGCGCAATGACAACCCCATAATGCTCTCTTCAAATTCATACTTCACCAGTTTTGAAAGTCCGACAGATGTTTGAACCTAGATCAAGCTCGTTAAAAGACTGAAGACTTTCAGTAAGTGGCTTTATCTGAACGACTAGCAGCTCATAGCGATGGCGAGCATTATGACTCAAAAAATACATAGATTGTTTAAATCCAAGTGAAGTACATGGTTGTGCTAAGTTGTTGTTAGATATATACACTTCAATGCCTTATGACTAGTTTCTGCTTCAGACTAACGAAAGTATAGATACTCCATTTTGGATATTTTATATTTTTTGTCTTCAGCCAATTGTCGCAACGCCACAAGTAAAGTTTAAAAAAAAAAAATAATCATTTGCATCACGACTTACTTTCATCAATCAAATATATCATCCTGTAAATAAAGTATGTTCAAGTTGTTGGGTAAAACTACATTAAAAGCAGCCTCCTTGCGCTCACAGGCACTACTATCCAACTACCCCAAGATCCTCACGAAGCCAGTCATATCACCTACTTTTCAAAGTCTACGAAGCTTATTTATTCAAACATCAGATACACCTAACGACCATGCGTTGAAGTTCCTTCCATCTATGAAGATATTAGAAGAGAATGAAACTCGTGAATATTTAAGCGGGAGAGAGGCGCATTCGTCGCCTCTTGCAGTTAAGCTATTTAGCGTTGATGGAATAAAGTCCATCATGTTTGGTTCAAATTTTATCACCATTGAAAAAAGTCCTCAAATTGAGTGGCAATTACTAAAGCCGGAAATATTTTCAATCCTTACTGAATACTTGACCAACGGCTTGCCTGTGGTCAACATTGACGGTGAGGATGCAGAGTTGGCGAGCGACGTCGCATTTAATGAAGATGACGATGAGGTAGTGTCGATGATTAAAGAATTGATCTTTACGAGAATACGTCCAGCGATACAAGACGATGGCGGTGATATTGAATTTGTGGATTTCAGAGAGTCTGATGGAACCGTCTACCTCAAGTTGAAAGGAGCTTGTAGGACCTGCGACTCTAGCTCAGTCACGTTAAAAAATGGTATTGAAAGCATGTTAAAGCATTACATCGAAGAAGTGCAGTCAGTTGAGCCTATTGAGGAGATGGCAGAAGCTGCGCCAACAATGGCCAATGTCTCACCTCGTAGCAGGGAATAGAATCTCTGACATGTTTTCTATGACAGTATATAGACAATGAAACGTAACAAAGTTCCCTAAAATTAATCGCCTATGTAGACTATAAAAGAGAAAGAGCATTCACTCCAGTTTATTTAGCTCTTCTTGTAGCTTGGGAGCGGTTGAGTCATCACTGACCCTTGTCCAACAAAAGGTCCATTTCCAGTATGTGTCGCATTTGCAACTTGCTTCCCTGGTCGTTCAATATTTGGTGCAGCACCGGCATTAAACATACCTTGAGCTCCAAGAATGTAGGGATTTGGATGATATCCATAATAATAAGGCATGAATGGTTGGTATGTATAGTATTGCATGCCCCCTCCCGAGCTGGCATGTACAAATGCTGGAGTCTTTGGTGACGGCAATGAAAAATCAGGAGACAAACCTAAGCTAGAATTAGCCACCGGTGGTGCAGGTGGTAAAGGGAAAGATTTTTGGCTGGAGTTTGGCTTTTGGATAGCAAAAGACGACTGAATAACCATGGGGTTGAAATTGTCCACATGGACAAGCTTGTTATTGGTCATTAAAATGGCTCTAATTGCCATTTTAAATGTCTCGTAGAATATAAACCCAATCCGACCTGCCTTTTGCTCTTCGCCATCAATCGAATCCTCATCCTGGTAGAAGTGGGGCTTTATGATTTTTGCCGACTTGATTGATCCAAATTGCTTCCAAAACGATTCCCATGTGACATCGTCATTGTTGAAAACCAGTGAGAAATTGTTTACATACAAATTTGTCTCTTGATAGTTGACATTCCTAATGAATGCATTGATAGTGTATATGGGATTGGGATAGCTTATTACCACTGGCAGTTGCTTGGAACTCAATAGACTTGGATTAAATGATAGGTAGTACTGGTTAGTTTGTGAAAACAAGTAATGATTATGCTTATGCTGAGCCACTGTCACAGACAACTTACGATTCATCACCACCGGTTTTGACTCGTTTCCGTTTGCATTTCCGTTTGCGTTACCGGTAGATTTTCTTTCATTCACATTATCACCACTTGAATCTCTGTCAAGACTAGAACTATCATCATCATAATCCTCTTCCATCAAGGAAGGTAAATTTTTCATATCCAAAGCCATAACCTCATCCCATAGCAATTCATTCAAATAATACAAGACACGAAAGGTATTCTCCATAAAGTTGCTAGTAGATTTGAATCTGATATATCCAAAGTCAAAAAGATGTAAATTGGGTGAAGCATCGCCTTTGTCAACAATAGGAAAATAAATTGATTCAATGTTGTTGCCAAACATCTTAATCTTGTGCAAGAACCGTTCAAACTTGTCCTTTGTCAAATCATGCGGTAAAAAGTTGATCAAGTTCTCCAAAATGATTAAACTGAAATTGTCATTGGTGTTCCTTGATATATTTAAACTGGGGTGGAATCTTGTTAATGATGTCGACGATGATGACGTTGACACAGAAGTAGTACCCAGTGATGCACTGCTACTGCGACGTGAGGCAAAATTGTTGGAAATACCAGCTCCAGGAGGCAAGGATGAACGTTCTCGCTTGTTGATATATTTGTTCAAAAATAATGGAATATCGGGATTGTCATGGAATGCATTTGGTGTTTGCTTGCTGAGTCTATCAATCAACATATCAACATCCAAGTAGTTTGCAAACTTAACAATAGCAAATACAGATGAATTTGAGCTGGAGTGGAGTGGTAATCCGTTGCTACCGTTACTGCCATTATTGCTTGTTGACTCGTTGTTGAATAATCTGATGTCTTGCAATGATTTGAAATGACAATTGTCATTCAAATACTGACACAACTTGCGGTGCTTTTTTAATCTTTCACTTGATGCTAGTTCTGATGATGTTTCCAGCGTAAACTTGTTATCGTCGCACACCAAGTCGCTTGATAAATTCTTGATGAAAAGTACACCTGGATGCGAGACAAATTTCGAATAATCCAATTCAAACTTTACACCTTCATCATGGAGGCGATAGATTAAATCTTCCAAGTGTGTCTTTGACTTGAATCCGATTGACAACGTCTTGAACAGGACTCGTTCTGATGATGAGTTCAATTGTGGTTGCAGTTGGTCAAACTCTTCCTCATTTATTGACAATTTTGAAAACTGTGACACCATGTGCTCAACTTTGTTTTGAGCCCTTGCACTGCTCACATAGATTTTCAAACTTATAGGGAAATAGCAAGACCCCCCACCTTCAGATTCAGTCTCAGCAAATATATGGTTATTTAAACAGTCGATCAAATCTTGTTGTGGCTGCTGATCGTGTTGGGAGCTAGCGCTGCTATCTCCATCCTCCAGTGATTCAGATGTATACTCCTGTTTAGTCAATCGGAATACGTCTCCCTTCTTGCGTGGAATGTTGTTTTTATAAAAGTGTTCGTTTTGCTTCTCATTAAAATTGTCGCCAAGTGTCCCTGAGGAGAACTTAGACATCGAGTTGTCTGATTTAATGTATGCATCAAAACTGGACTTTTTAAAATATGGATATGATTTCATACTTACGGTAAGTGTCGTGCGCTGTTGAGTGTGAATGAGTTGATTTTAATTTTGATTTTGATTGCTACGTGGTCGATTGGAATCCCTTGTTCTGGAATAGTGAATTTGTAAATCCTTAATTTGCTGATAAATGTAGGATATTGTCTTTTTTTAAAAGAAAAGAAAGAATGTCAGGGTAGTTTTCCTTCTTCTTAAGGGTAATTATATTTTGGAAAGCTGAAAAGACTTTATTAAATAGATGATGCAGCAGGGGCTAAAATTACGAGGAGGAGTTTTGCTTTTTGTCTCTTTGTCTTTTTTTTTTTTTCTCCTTTTCTCTTTTTCTCTCTCTCGCTTAAAAATAAAAAGCGGCAATTGACACAAAAATATGCAAAATCAATCAAATATCAAATAGAAAAGAAACTCAACTTCTTTTATTCATTTGGAAAAAAATAGATATACCTCCCAGGACAAAAGTAATAATAATTCAATATTAATAACTTTTGTATAGATGATGCTCGTCCGTGTATTGTGTGATACGCTTTCTAGTGTCATGCAAGGTTTACCACGGAGAAACACGAGTTGGTTGACAAAGGGTATGGTGCTTTGAATCTTTTTTTTTTTTTTATTTTATTTTAATTTTGTGGAGTAGTCAGGTTCTTCAGCTGAAACTTTCGTTTAGATTTGATGATGAATTTAAACTGAAGCAGGATCCAAACACTGGTATTGTGTACTACCTCTGCAATTACCCAGCTTATAAGGCTTTTATGTGGTAAAAAGACTGAAGGGGGAGAGGGGGGAGGCAAAAAGATGTATATTTAATAATAATAACCCCAGGGATGAAAAAATATTTTATTGTTTAGATTTATCTTTTTTGTTCCAAGCTTTTTCTTTTAATTAAATAAAGCACACGGAAATTGTTGAATATGTTTCTTTGTTTGGAATATAAACCTAAACTTTGAAGTGTTGGTAATCGTATTACAGCAACGATGCTAATTTCTTGTCAAATGGGGTTGAAAAAAAGGAATCAAGGTTTAGGCTGACTTCAAAACTGTCTGACTTTGTTGAATGCTGGGTTCTGGATGAGCTAAATTAAAATTTCCCGGTATCAGTGAAGAAAAGAAAAGAAAAGTAAGAAAGAAAGCAAGACAATAATCTTTTGTTGGAGGAGATGGGGGGGTCGTGGTTTCTTTAATTTTCTTGAAGTTTCTGAATAAATCCAAAGGGCGAATCCGCTTATGTTGTGGACCTAATATTATTTTAAAAAGACTTTTGGTTTTGGTTTTTATTTTGGTCTTTGAGGAGATTATAATAATAATAATAATAATAATAATAATAATAATAATAATAATGTATACGCTGCACTGGATTTTAGTGGGTTTTTTAAGAAAAGTGAAAAAGGTTTGAGACAGCAACCCGCTATGGGCCGTTGTGTGCACTCAATCCTTGTTTTCACGTTTGTTCTACAAAAGAAAACAGCAACGATTATTCATGACATTCCCATCGAAATAGTATCAATAGCAAGCTTTGGATTGGCTATTGTTTCCTTTTGAATGTGAGGCACTGAAACTTTGCCGGTCATTTCCATTGGAGTTTCCCCAAAATTGGTGTTCTGCTTTTGTATCATCATTTATATTATATATATATATAACTGCAAAAGGAATATATGTATATATATGCTACATACAAAAAAGTAAAATGCATTCTTCTACCCAGACCAATCAATCAATCAATCAAACAACCAATCAATCATGGAAAAATGTTTTAAGAAAATGGACAAAGTGTTTTATATGGCTCAAGATGGTTCTTTTATCCAGCTTTCTGAACTTGTCACAATCTTGAACCATATTTATATTCACTTTTGTGCTTTTACTATATGTTGGTGCTGACGCAAAATCTTGTGTCATGCATGAGCTAGTGAATTATCTCGTTTAATACTGTACTTCTGGCCTATTATCTCAGTGTAAACTATTTTAAAATAGTGGTGAAATTGTTGCGTTTCCTGACAGCTTACGCTATCGAGCTGTAATTATCCTTGCTTTTGCTTTATGAGTAGTGATATCCTTTCTCAACCAAATAAAGATGTGCTTGCTTTCCTTGTTCTCTAATATGGCTCTATTTTTAAATTCTTTGGAACCACAGAGTTCTAGAAGTGGTACAGTCATGAGATTCACGTGACTGTTGAGAAATTTTACATTTTGATCTCTGATTCAGAAAAAATTGTAGCACCAAACTCTGCAAAATAACAGCCAACACCCAAATACAGCAATGTCACATCATATTGTAGAAGAAATCTCAATTGGTGATCTGGAATACACAATAGTCGTAACATACAATCACAACTACAATAAAAATGCCCCCATCACGATATATATCAACCAACAACAAAACCAATTGATGGGTGACTACATCTACACTATACAAGATTCATCGACTTTTATAAATAGTGTTGACGAGAGCGAGCAGTTGAGACTGCTAAATCAACAGCTAGCTTCAAAATATAAGGTACCGATTTACTTGAATATCAACACTACAGGCAAATTTTCCAATGTGGATATGTTTCAAACGATCACTGGTTTGATTAATAGAGAGGAACAGCAATCGAATATTCAAATACGAGAATAAAGAACCGCCTGGCATTCATCTTCAACAAAACTTTACTAGATACAAAGTGTTCTAATTTAAACTATGTACAAGTTAATAAATAAAATTGCAAAAACTTAAAGTTAACACACATTTCCAATCTGTCTTTCTAGTCCATTTGGCAAATGCTTTTCTAACCTAAGCCACCGTATTGAGCACAATCGCCTCTGAATAGGCTTTTGATAATTCGTTTATTAACAATTGTATCATCAACAACCGTATCGACATGTTCAGGAAACACTCGCCCATACCAGATAAAGTCATGGCTAGTGGTGCATTCTTTGGGATAGTACAACACATTCCCAGCAAATGCATGGCCTCCAATATGAGTGATTTCACCAACGTAGGCACCATTGCCGATTGACTTGGCAGTTAAGACATCGTTAAACTTGTTGACTAATAATGGACCAAGTATGCCACATCTAATATCTCTTTTGGCATGGCTACAGATTACAATCAAGTCCTTTTCGAGATGCCATTCTTGGAAATTTGCATCATTGACTTTGATTTTGGTTGACAGTCTAGTTGTTGATGTATTCAGAGACTTGACAAAGGGGTTAAATATTTCAATTTCTTCTCTGTCTTCACTAGTCAAGTACTTGAACATAAATTGGGCAGTATGAGCAATATTGAATTTAACAATCTTCATCTCGGGATAAATGAATACCAATTGATCGCCATCGTTTTGGTTTACATCAAACTGGCGCAAAATCTCATCATTATTGTGTAATACAATACTTGAAATCAATGTCCTTAACCCCAATGGTACTTTAAAACGTAGTTTCTGAACCTCATAAGCCAATGTTCCCGGCCAAGTCTCAACTTTGGACTCAAATTCTTCCATTCGGTTATGGTTTGTAGTAAGCACCATCACATGTTTGCTTGGCACTGCTCCACTCTTGTCGAGATTTTGTTCGAAATTGACCTGTTTGCCAGGTGGGAAATGTTGTTGACAAAATTCACAGTCTTTTTGAGTTGAGATTGTGGGATTGATTAATTTCCAATTGATTCGAGAGGAGACAGCAACGGTGGAAAAAGAAGTGGAAGTGGGAGTGGCATTAGTAATAGTGCTGTTGAACCTTCTCTGTAGTATTCGTGAAATCATATTCTAGTTAAAAAAGTGGACCTAAGCAAGGGTTCGTGTTCACATTATCAGTTGCAAATGTATTTTTATATACTTACTGATATATATGTATAAGTGTTGAGTTTGCGCAAAGGAAGAAAAAAATAAAAAAAAAAAAGAAATTAAAAACAAATAATCAGAGATATGTCAATAGAATCGGATCGAATATCCGAATTTCAATGATAAAACCCACGCCTAATTCCCACACAACATTGTAACTGTTAGAGAGAGAGCGAGAGAGAGAGAGAGCAGTCTTTGTGTTCTTATTTCCAAATAGTATTAAACATCAGACGAGCTTTCTTCTCCAGTAATTATGTATATACTATTAAAGAAGAGAATTTGAGACCATAATGTATAATTCATAAAACTTACAAACTGCATTGATAAAATAACAACAATTTTACAATATTTTTTTTTAAAAAAAATAAACTAGACATGTAGTCTAACAAAACAAACAGTAATAAAAGACATTACACTGAGGTTTTGCCAAAGTGTTGGACTCAATAACGCAAGGAAAATGTCTCTGTATAATTAACACCTTCCTTTAGCAAATTTCAACCTCTACCTATCGCTAAAGAACGTTGGCCACCTATCGCTATAGATATAGTGAGTAGTTGCCCCCTTAGTGAATGGTTTAGACTATATCCTCATTGTTGTATCAGAAGGAAAAGTTTAGGCCACACGAGTGGCATTGTCTTCCGATATTCAACACCTATCGTCATCATTTGAAGAGGAACAGTTTTTGAATACCAGAAAAAAAAAGACATGTCAAACTTAAACAAAACCTTCCCTTCGAAAACAATCAGAAATCAATTTGATCATTTCCAAAAAGAAAAGAAAAGGAGTAGTAGTCTCTGTTGGAGGTATGATGTTCCTGGTCACATGATTTTAATTATTGTGTATTAGAATGGTTTTATGCATGTTTTGAGTCAGATCAATTATAGCTAGCCCTTTCACGGAAATTCGTTCATTCTCAACAACTCAGAAGGTTTGGTTTGGTTTGGTTCTTTAGGATTTCCCCTATTTGGGTGTCAGAATAGAAAGGTAAATATTCTTGATTCATATAAAAGAGAAACTATAAATTGAGAGGAAAAGATCTACCTTTATACTTCAAAAGCTCTAGTAAAGGTTTAGTAACTAAAACATATTTTAGTCTTAAAATATTTGTTCTAAAACACTTTAGCATTTAATACGAGTTTCAGAATATATATCCTACTTCCTGACATTGGAAATGTGGCAATAATAGGTTTAAATGGAATATATGTCAACAAAAGATGTTTACTAACATGGAACTTCGTTTATCCCAAACAGGTAAAGGTAAGAGTTAAGGAGTATGTTTACTGGAATTATGAAATTACTTAATAAAGCAATGAATATGGAATACCAACTAGATTGAACGATAGCTAATTGTTTAGAGAAAACGGCCTTATCCTAAAGAAGGAATTTGAGTTTGAGTTTGTTTGTATTTAAAGCTTAAGTGATTAGGAAGATCAGGAAAGTGCTCCTTGATATTTGAATTACGTAATATTATTTAAGAACATGGAAATCCCCAGAGGCTGCAAATTGTGATTATATAGAACTTAACTTAACTTAGTTTTAGTTTTGATGGATTATATTTGTTCATAATAAATACATACTTCAGCTAGTTACATTTCAATCACCGTTAAAACCACTCGTAAATCAGTTTAACACGCACTTCCATCTATTTATTATCTGCCATAGTTAGCTACGTCTTCCACACCAACACACTTAAATGTGTAATAAGCAAATGAGAGGAAAAAGAGAATTTTTAAGACTTTACTTCTGTCCTCCTTTTCATATGTTTGGGTAAATAAAGTGGTTGGTCCACTCGCCACAAATGCTTTTTTCAAAGAGTTACCCATTTTCATCAATGCTCAATTGTGTTTTTGATCAAATATCTATGCAAAAAAAGTAAAGAATATTCTCCTATATGTCAAATTCATAACATAAACAGATCTTGTCTTCTGATTGAAAATATGTTTTGGCCGAAACACTCTAGCTTATCTCACCTTTTCACAGTATACTGTTCCCGTCTTCATTTGTAATTTCATTAGTAACCGGAGATCAACTATCCATATTAGGAAATTACTAAAACCGCTCATCCCACCTTTTCACAATATACTGTTCCCGTCTTTATTTGTAATTTCATTAGTAACCGGAGATCAACTATCCATATTAGGAAATTACTAAAACCGCTCATCTCGGTTCTTAAAAAAATAATATTTCCTTTTTTAATCAAACAGACCGAGAGAGAAAGAGCTGAAGTTTATTTTTTCTGTCAGATTACGTGAGATTAGCCACACCTCTTACTAATTTTTCATTTCTGTGGTTTTGCATTAACCAAATGATACATAATTCAACTCAACTCTTTGCATTATAAATACAGCTCAAACAGAACCCACAATTAGAACCTCAATCACATCCCAATACCAATTCTAATCAAAATATTACAGTAACAACAATGACAAAAGCCACAATTCAATCATCCAACTTGTTCAAACCAATTAAGGTTGGAAACGCTATAATTCAAAATAGAATTGCCCACTTACCAACCACTAGAAACAGAGCACACCCAGGTGACCATATCCCCACAGACTTGGAGAAAAAATATTACACTGATAGAGCTAAATCTGGCGCATTATTAATTACTGAAGCTACAATTGCTACTCCCAAATTAGGATGGTACCCCAATGTCCCTGGTATTTGGAATGAAAAACAAGCTTTGGGATGGAAAGAAATTGTTGATTCTGTCCATGCTGCTGGGGGTAAAATTGCGGTTCAATTGTGGGGATTGGGTAGAGTTGCTAGTGGTGCATTGTTGAAATCGCAAGGTTACGATTTTGTTGGTGTTAGTGACGTTTACGAACATGAAAAATCAGAAAAGGAAGCTATTGAGGCAGGTAACCCACTTCGTCCATTTACAACTGAAGAAATTGAAGATTTGGTTCAAAATGAATATCCAAATGCAGTTAAATTGGCCCTTGACGTTGCTGGATTTGATTTCGTTGAGTTGCATTTTGCCAATGGTTACATTGCTAATCAATTCTTGCACCCAAAGATCAACACTAGAACCGACAAGTATGGAGGTGACTCAATTGAAAACAGAGCCAGATTTATCTTGGAAGCATTTGACAATGTCTTTAAAGTAGCTGATGCACAACAAGTTGGTGTTCGATTTTCACCAGCAAATGTGTTTCAAGAACCGGGAATCAACCCATCAAGCAAACAAGATTACATATACATTCTTAAAGAATTGCAAAAGAGAGCCGACAAGGGCAACCAATTGGCATTCATTGACTTGGTTGATGGTGTGTACGACGTTGATGATGTCCAATCACCAGCAAACGTAAACTACTTTTACGATTTTTGGAAGGGTATAATTTTAAAAGGAGGAAACTACACCGAAGATAAAAATGATGGATGGAAAAAAATCGTTCAAGACGCCGATGCCAATGACCGTACCTTGGTTGGGTTCGGCAGACATTTTATTGCCAATCCAGATCTTCCACAAAGAATTAAGCAGGGCAAGGACTTGAATGAATATGATAGATCCACATTTTATACCACGTATGACCACGGATATAATACTTATCCTGAATACGGCGAGACTAGAGATGCTGACCCTGAAGCAAAGATCATTCCTAAACCATTAGTTCATTAAGAAATTGACTGGGAGTAAGAGTATACATAGAGAAAGAAATTTAATAGAGATTTTATAGTTTCCAATTATTGAGAAATTTTTTTGATTTTATGCTGCTGCGTATTCTTTACTTTTGTCTATTTTTTTTGCATCCAAAATGCATCAAGGTGCATAATCTAACACCTTCACTAAACTTCATATTCCTTACAATATATTCCTTTTTTTTAGTACTTAACCATTTGGATATCCCCCAAGAGGAGCTTTTATATATAGGCATTTATCAAAACTCTTTTTATTCTACTAATCAATTAAGCAATGGGTCTTGTTTTGTCAATACCTTTTGCCGTTTTTGCATTTGGTGGTTCCGACAGCGATGGTAGAGAAGAGGGTCATAGTGCAAGAAAGAACACTAGGAGCAAAGCTAAATACCGATCTCGTCATAATCGCGGATCGCCGACATCAACTTATGTTGCTGGTCCAACTGAGTCATTATTTCTAAACACGGGCATACACAACCAAACTTTATTCGGTAATAATACGTTGCCAGACACAGAACCCAAAGATAGTGTGAATTTAGGATTTATTTTGGGGCCAGTTTTTGGTGTGCTTTTTTTGATTTTAATTATTGCTATTTTTTGGTGCCATAAACTAGTCAAAAAACAACAACGACAAGCTACTGCTGCTCCTGCTGCTGGTCAGAATCAGGATCCTCCACCTTATCTTCAACGCAATCCTCAAGATGTCAATTCTTTTGAACCTCCCACAAGTAAATTGCCGCTTCCAGAGAAAGCCCATTTAAAAGTGGAGGATGTTGAAACTCTTGTTGAGGGGGAATATGATAAAGAGTTTGAATATCATGAGGTTAGTGACTTGGAGTCAGCAAGAACAAAGTATTGAGTAATTGAGCTAAAGCTAATACACAATTTATATAATTGTCAAGGAATTTATATGTCAAATGCATATGACCTGTTTAACAATATTAGAAGAGTAGTATTAGAGATGCATATTCACCATGCTGAAAAAGGTGGACCTTAAAAGTTGAACTGAGATTCCAATTGAAACACTATGCTTATGGGTTTCCTTTTTTAAGGTTGGTAGAACCATTAGGAGACATCTTGCACAAAGGGCTGAGCCTGGTGACTTTTTTTTTAAGGATCTGAAACATGTAACCAAATAAAGGAATCTTTTATAGTCATTCATACTAAAGATGCATATTGACTCATGGTTGGAGAACAACTTATAATCTACACACGTTAGAACTACACAGAAGAGTAGGCGATGGTGCAATCAGATACTTCGTCAAGAACATATAGCATCTATTAAAAATCTCTTAAAGTGCCTTATGTAGCATTTATTTATAGCAATTAATACCATCACTACAATATCCCTGTGAATGAGTTTACAGCTACTCTATCAAAGAGAAGTTCAAGAAATCAAAAAAAAGGCAGAGCTAAAGAGACTGATGAGAGACCAAACTACAACTCGGGGCAGATTTTTGAACATTCAGTTTTCTTAAGAATGTAGTACAAATAAACAAACAAGATACAAAAAACCACTCGGAGTCCTTGAAGACTCAAGAATCTGGTACCTCCAGGAACGAAGACATATAAAAACCAAGTGAAATGGGGTAAAAACACAAAACCAAAACACAAAAACAAAACACAAAAACAAAAAATGAATAACAGAATGAACAAAAAAATGCAACATCAATCAACCAATCGCTAAATTGACAACAGCAAATGACTCCTCACGGATCTTCCAACAAGCACTTATCCATCTTCTTCATACATAGAACCTTTTTGACACATTTCATCTTCTTCATTCACTGGAATATCTCCCAACATTAAACCACGCCTGGTTCATGATCGTATCATAATTCTCAACAATCTCCAGTTCTTCCCCATCTTCCATCAAATTGCAAAATATACCTCATTGACTCCGGATACTGACTGCGCATCTCAGTAACCTTTGTACAACTCAGCACCAAACAGCGACTTCCAACGGATCCAAACTGCTACATCACTGCATACATTACAAAGAAACTTTCTCCCAAAGACAAACCGACTT